GGTTTCTACATGGCCGTCCCCCCCCACCGTCTCTTCTCAATGCAGCCCGATCAGAATGTTCAGCGGAAGGAAGGGTTCCTCCACTGACTGACCCTCCCACCCGGAAAACGCCTCTGCGAAGATGGGGTAGGACAACTCGGCACTCCCCTTCTGCCATACGGGCACCAGCATCCACACCTTCCTTTGAATGTGGATCGAAGACCCATTTCTGGACACGGCATCAAGACCCCACTGCGGCGCCTGCTCCCCAAGCTTCCCAGGAAATACTCGCCTTGGCACCACCGGATGAAAGAGACGGATCCCGCCCCCAATTCCCAGTAGGTCGGAGATGATGTCGTTGTCACCAGAAGTAACTGCTGACAAAGGGATCAAGCGCTGTTGGCAGTATGCTATGGTGTCTTGACGAGTGATGACAAACGCCTGCATAGTTTACTCCTCTATGTTTGCGTAAACAGTAGCTGAGGAGGAGCAAACTATGCAGGCGTTCGTCTGTGGCTGAGGAGGAGCAAACTATGCAGACATTCGTCATCACTCGTCAAGACGCCAGAGTGGGGGTTGAACCCACAGCCTTGGGATTGAGAGTCCCACGCTCTACTGATTGAGCTAGCCGGGCTATGCACATAGAATTTGACAGGTCATAAAGAAAGCAGTGAAAGACGGGGAAACCATGAAGTAAGTCTCACAGATTACTCGGTGCACAGCTGCAGTGGGAAAATAGATTTCGTGGTTCTTGCGAGATGTAGTGGTGCCGCAAAGTCCCTCTGCATTTTTACTATTCGCCTTCGGAGCAGCGTCCTCTGTAGGTCCACTGCAGAGAAGACATAGAATGGCTTGAGAGAGATCCAGAAGGAAAATGGGTCTGAAGGCACCGGTGAGGGGGAAGGATGAAATTCAATTTGGGAGTCGGGGACAAGCAGAGCGTGGCTCCCCTTTGAGCGGATCAAGTTTTCCAGTGTCTGCTACCACACCAACATTTGAAACTCCGACAGCTTCCAAAAAAACTCGCACAAAGCACTTTGTGAGACATCAATTCTCCGGCACTCCAGCCGGCCCTCAACAATGTTGGATCAGTGTTGGTCTGGGTGTTGGCATTTACGAACATTAGCATGGCTAGCTGAGCCAGAATGCGAACTGTCCCATCGTGGACTCATTTTTGTGCCAACGACCAGGCCAACGCTCCAACGACACTTGTATACAGGAGTCAAATACACACGACGGGATCAGATCGATCATTCTCTGTCATATTCTTGAGACACGTTGGACTGACTTGCGTCCACCCAAAGGGTGAATTTCTTAGGCCAAGAGCCAGGTCGTACTCAGTACTCAAATCCAAACTCAATCTCTGTGTTACCAAAGAGTCAACTCCGATTTCGTTTCGAATCACACACCCCACTTCCTCCTCACTTACTCCTCAATCATGGAAATATCAACCCGCGATCGCAACAACCCACCGACCGAAACGCACGTCCAACGCGGCTTCAAACTCAAAGAATGATGGTCACTTGAAAGTATCAGCGGTCGGCGTTGTCACCCTTTCAAGCACTACCGCGTTAAGCTGCGTCTGCACCCGAAATGGCAGACAGCAACCCGCGATCGCGACCACCCACCACACGAAACGCACTTGAACGCGGTTTTCAACTCAAAAAACGATGGTGAATTGAAGGTACGAGTGGTCGGCGTTGTTACTCCTTCATCTCCTCCCGCGTTTTTCCGCGTTTGCGTTCAAAATGGCAGACGTCAAGTGCCTTTACAGCAACTACCCCATTCTCCCCTTTGCACTTCTGACTGCTGGCATTTGTCCCGAAATCCTCCTTCACTGAACTTTCAGTACTCATATCCGCTTCTTCCTTCGTCCTTACTTTCACACTGCAGGCTACTCCACGGCAGTCCCCACACAACGCGGCTCCTCAGGCACACCTCTCCAGCTGACCAGACGACGAGTATGAGTGGAACCCGTGAGTCGAAGAGTTCATTCAGAACAACTTGCAACTCTATCCCGCTCCATAACCGACTGCTCTTCGCGAAAACCACCGCAACTCGGAGGATCCAAACCGTCCGATCTGGGAGTGCCATTTGGAGTGTTCACCGAACCAGTATTTACAGCCGCCAGGAGCACACGCGGGGAGCGAGGGGTGCTGGGGAGTGAGGAGTGTAGGGAGTGAGAGCTAGGGTTGAAGGTAGGTCGTAGGGAGCTAGAGTGAGTGGACCGAGAGTGAGAGAGAGGGCGGCGGGGTGTGATGGGTTTTCGTTTGTCTTCTTTCGTGCAGACGCGGGGACTGATCGTGGGACCTGTAGGGAGCGAGAGCTAGGGGTGTAGGGAGGTCGTAGGGAGTTAGAGTCAGGGGACCGAGAGTGAAAGAGAGGGGGCGGGGTGTGAAGAGTTTTCGTTTGTCTTCTTTCATGCAGACGCAAGGACTGATCGTGGTGCGGGGAGTGAAGTGAGGGCGGCGAATGGTCAGTCATCTCCGCCCAAGAATGCAGTCCATGGCAGTCCCAGAATCCTCTTCCTGCAGTCTGCGATTTCTTGAA